ATTGTGAAACTGGGAAGTCTTTTAAAAAGTATATTGGGTACCTTATCAAATTGGATAATTTCTTACCAAAAATTCATTATCAACAATCAAATATTAAAATATTTTAAAAACCAAACAATAAAAGAAGAAAACATGGAACATGCTGTCCACAGAAATCTGTTTTAAATATAAAGACTCAAAGAGGGGAAAAGTAAAAGAGACAGAAAAAGATAAAGCATGCAAATGGCAATCACCAGAAAGCCAGAGTGATGGTGTTAGGAGCAGGTGAGCACACTCAGGACAAGGTATATTGTGAGAGACAAGGAACAGTTCTCGTGATAAAAGGGTTCATTTTTCAAGAAGAGGTAATAAGCTTGAATGACTATAATCCTAGTAGCAACAATTCAAAACCAAGATTCGAATAAAGACCATGACACTGACAGCACCGAGAAGTCCTAGACTTAAATATCAGCATTCACCCTTGAGCGCGCTCTTTTCCATTTTTGTGTTCCTCCCAGGAAGTTAATTTTGTGGGCAAGGATCACATATTTTCATTCTTATATCATTCTTGTATTCCAGTGCCTTGGATAGTGTTAGAAGACAAAATCAGAATTTTAAAAGATCTAAAAACATTTGTCATGAAATTTGACAGTATGTAGTAAGCTTTTAAAAATGTGCATGTTCTTTGACTCATTAATTCATATCCTAGGTCTCCAGCCAAAGGAATCCATTAAAAAAAAGCAAAGTTTTATGCTTAAAAAGTTCACTGCAATGTTGCCTATAACAGTGAAAAAATTGGGCACAGGCTGAATAATCAACTAAAGGGGTGGATGCATAAACTCTGTGACAACATTCAACGGGCTAGCATGTGAGATTGAAGAAAATGTTTCCAAGGTGATGTCAACTTTTTTAACAAGAGGATACAAATCAATATTGTATTGTTCAATACAATAACATATAAATTATCTATACATAGGTATGCTCAGAGACACATCTGGAATGAAATGAAACAATGTTTACCTTTAGATGAGGAAGGGATCATGGGTTACTATAATTGCATTCTTTATATTTTCTTAATATTGGATATCAAAATTGTATTGGCTTGATAATTTTTAAAATATCTAATAAATGTTGGGAAAAGTTAAAATATCTGAATAAGCTAAATGTAACATGATTAAATTTAACAGGTCTTTGCAAAGAGCTCTGAATGTTTGTTTTTAAAAAAATGCAGAGATGATGTGACTTAGCAGAATCAAAGTCCAGAATTTCTGTTTATTAGCTCAACTCAGTTAACTGAATGGTGTAGATGCTTAGAATAAATGCACACGCTGGTTTAATTAAGAGAGGCATGGCAGGTAGCACAAGGGAGGTGATGGGTCTTCTGGAATAGATTCATGTGGGGCCCCACAGTTTGAAAACACTCCAGATATATTGGTGTGTATCCAGCTGTGGCTACCAGGATGAGAACAGACCTAGAGACTTTGGTGTGTGAAAAAGCTGAGTGGCTGGAAAGAGTTGTGGAAAAGAGCAGATAAGTGAAAGCATGCCCAGAGTAGACAGGCACTTGAAGGGCTCAGGGCATAGGAGGTGGCCGTGTTCTGTGTGGCCCTGGAGAGCAGAACTGGAACCACAGGGGGAAGCTATAGAAAGCAAATTTAGCTCTATGTAAGGAAAAACCTGACCAAGATGAAAAATCTGCCTTTTAGGAAATGAGTCGTTCATGTCTATAGGTATGCAAGTAGAATCTGCATCAGAAATATGAAGGTAGAGAAAGAGAAAGACAGAAAGGGGAATGAGACAAACAGAAAAAGAGGGAAAGGAATAAAAAAGAGAGTCTTAGGCAGAAGCAAGGAAGAGAAAAGGTGAGGCAGAAGAAGAAACAGTTTTGAGAGTACGTAGTAAATTGTGGCAAAACACACTGTAGAGCCCTGACCTGCCTTTTCAGGTTTTCGCTGGCGATATCTCCACATGTCAGCAGGTGGAGGTATTACCCCAGGAAAGGAGGACTCTGCTCCCCGCCTCCCCCTGCCCCCATTCCTTATTTTCAAAACGTGTCAGGTTTTCCTCTTCTTAAAAAATGATGCTAAGAGACAACTCCAGAAGTCTCTGAATTTTCAAGCTAAATTTATAAACAAACATTTATGGTAAATTCTGCCTGTAACTACCTTGGTTCTCATTTAGAAGAGGTCACTATAGCTTTTTGCATTTTGGTCACTGACTGAGTAGGGCTCCATCTTGCCCCACACCACTTAAATATTCATGTATTTATATATATATATTTATACACACACACACACACATATATGGTGTATATGTGTTTTGAGTTAAGTAACTAAACAACATAGGGGTACACTACAATCCCCTTCTCTGCCGTTAACACTTTCCTTCCCCAGATAGAATCTCTGTCACTTTGAATTCTTGCTGGTGGTAATTCTGGGAGTCTTTTCTCTTATTCTATGTGTGGTGCTCTTCACTCTTCCACCCAGCTGTAAAAGAACCAATTCCGAGGACCTTCACAGACTGACTGGTAAAGTTGTATCTTTAAAAGGAAGCAGTCTTGTACAGGAGTGCTTCCCAACTTGGAAGTGCACACAGATCACCTAAGGATCTTGTTAAAGTGCAGATTCTGATTCAGAAGATTTGATAGGGCTGGAGATTCTGCACTGCTTACCAGTTCCCAGGTGATGCCGATGCTCCCAGCCTGAGGACCACACTTTGGGTAGCAAGGTCACACAATATGTGCCCCTATCAGGAGGTGCCAGGACACTTCTATCAAGAACTACAATGACTCCTTGCAGGCACTGCTGTTTTCTTTGTGACCCCTTAACTTTGACTTAACTGTTCATATTTTCATTGAACCAATCAACATATACAGAGAGTCCACTATGTGTAAACCCAGTGCCAGTTCATTTTAGCCAACATTATTAAGCATCTTTGGGTTCCGGTCCCTATGCTAGGTGCTTAGGATTAATGGTGATTCAGAAACCACCAGCTTGATGGGGTTCCCACTAGCCTAATCTGGGAAAATTTAAACATAAAAGTAAGAAATAATAGTAACATATTCTAATCTATTGAAAAAAGTAGGAATCCATAAGTCCATACTGAGATTAATAAATACATAAATACATAAAGAAGAAGTGTGATGACCAGAATATTTACTTAATCTCTAAGTACCTGCCCACAAAATGCTTGTTAATTACAAAGGGAAAAGAATAACTTTTCTTTTGGTTGATACCGCTTTACTTGAACCTGGTTGAAAAAACTTAAATTAAGTGATCAAATATAACCAGAAATGGGACAAACTGAAATTGTCCCTGATATGATACAGTGAGAACAGCCTCATATCTGTGATATTCCTACCAAAGATGCACAACCTGAAACTAAGCACTTGGAAATATTAGATGGACCCAGATTAAGGGAAAGTCTACAAAATAATTGGCCTATAACCTTTTAAATTGTCAAAGTTATGAAAGTCAACATAAGAGTGAGGAACTATTCCTGGTTGAAGGAGACTAAAGAGCTGTGGCAGCCCAGTGCAACGTGTGATTCCAGACAGGATCTTTTTTCCTATAAAAATATTATTAGGCCAAAAAAATATTATTAGGCCCTGACTGGTGTGGCTCAGTTGGTCGGAACATCATCCCATAGGCCAACAGGTCATGAGTTCAGTTCCAGTTCAGGGCACACACCCAGGTTGCAGATCAATCCTGGATCGGGGTGCATATGAGAAGGCAACCAAACAATATCTCTCTCTCTCCACCCCCCACCCCTTCCTCTCTATCTAAAAGCAATAAAAAATGTCCTTGGGTGAGGATAAAAAATATTATTAGGACAATTGGTGAACTTTAAGTATGATAATTATATGGTAATGTATCAATATTAATTTCCTGATTTTGATGGCTATATGTACTTATTGAGGTAACATCCCTGTCTGTAGGAAATACTATAGTCTTCAGGGGTGATGAGGCACTGACAACTAAAGTTTAAAAGGTTCAGGGCAAAGAAAAGCTATTTGTCCTGTATTTTGCAATGTTCTGTTTGAGATTGGGAAAAGCAAGACAAGTGCTCAAAGGGAGCTCTGGTATAGGAGTTATTTGAAGCATCCGGGGTATTTGCAGGAACGGGATGAGTCTTAAAGGAGATTTGGAGTACAGAGTCAACCTGCTTTCTTGTCGTTCGACGGTACCACCTCTTTGGCAGGGTACTGTGTCCCTCCATAGAGATCCTGCTTTGGGCTCTTCTCCAGCTTTGATAACTCCCCTTGTGGAGGTAGGTTTGAATCTGCAAGGGCAATGGGACACGCCAATGACATTGGCTCCCCCGGTTCTAGTCCACCTGAGAATCCCCTCTGCCCAAACATACTTGAACCTCGAGCCTGCTAAGCGGCCCCTCCCCCACCCCCGTCCATCCTCCCAGGGTTGATGGGGCCACAGATGTACGTCTAGGTCCGAGGAATGATCATGGCTAAGAGCTGTTTACAACTTTGTGGACGAAGCTTCGACCTAAGGATTGGATGTTCACGGGTGTGCATGGAGACTCTATTGAGAGCAACTGCTGTGTGCCAGCTGCCCCATTTGGTTGGGACTCAAGGAGTGTCTGCCAGAAAATTCGAAATTTAAACCTGGCCTTTCAGGTCTTGGTAAGATATACTTGTCACCGTAGGAGATACAGATCATACTGTTTCTAGACCGTGCTGAGCACGAAGAAACCCCAATGACTGTTAGGCAGAAACCGCAAACTTGTAGGAACTTCGGACCCTTGTCCCACAAAATCCTTATAGGCACAGGAGGAGTGCTGGGCCAACCAGGTGTGGCGCCTCCGAGTGGCAGGCCAAGGATGGGGCGTTGCAACGCGTGGAGACCACGCCTGTTCGCAGGGGGCGGGGCGGATGGTGGGCGGGGCAGGCTGAGCGGGGAAGTCCCTTCAGAGTTCAAGGCTTGAGCGCGGAGGGGGCGGTGTCTTGACGGAGCGGAACCACGCCTGCTTGTCCAGGGCGGTGCCTGACGAGGCCACGCCTCTTCCGGGCCGCTGTGCTGTCTCCGCGCGTGGACCAACGTACTAGTGGCTGAGACAGTATTAACATCTAGGTAGGCTTGGCTACTACAGAGGCGAAATGGCTGTGGAGGTGTTGCCGAGTGCAAAGTGGCTGTACTGTGGGGAGCCCAACGAGAGCCAGAGGGCTGTACTAGGTAATGACTGCGGAGCCGAAGCGGACTTCCCCATAACTACCCCTTCCGTCTCGGTAGCTTTACAGCCCTCCCGCCCCCAGCCGGGCCCCTTTCCTAGCTGGGCCGAGACTCCTCACCCTCTTCCCCCCCTCCTCCAATTTAGTGTCCACTACTGCTTGGGACTCGGCTAGAGACTCCTCCCTTCGTCCTTACACCATCTCTATTTTACTATCTCCCACCTGGATGAGGACATCCCAGTACCCCCTCCCCAAAGGATTTACCAGGATTTTCTCATACCCTCACTCACCAGGCCTTAGACCTTCTGTTTCTTTAGACCTGAATGATGCCTCCTCAGTTGGTCCCATTCCCTTAGTTATTCCTTCCTGTCGCGGCCCCTTCCCAGGACTCCCTTTACCTCCCCATCCCCTCTTCCCAAGTGGGCCAGGATCTCCTTCAGTCCGCCTTCCGGTCGGGGACTTGAGCTTCCTTGCCATCCTCATTCCTTCAATCACTCCTTCCCGTTGCCAGTCCACTTCCACCTCACCATACATTGTGATTCTTTCTGATCTCATCTCATTCCTGGGCTGTGATCTTACAGTTCAGTTCTCCAATGGGAAGCTGCAGAATCCAGGTAACCTGCGCTTTACCTTGTACAAGAGCAACGACTCCACAAATCCCAGGAAGAGGAGTCACCGGATCCTGGTAAGTGCTGCGGTGGCCAATTACCTGCACTCTGCAGGCCTCAGTAGACCCCTTGGGTGTGGTGGATGTGGGAAGGAGTGAGAGGAGAAAGGGGAAGATAACAAATGAGTCTTTGAAGAACAATTCTAAGCCCCACAGGTCAGGATGTGGGGACAGGCTCCATTCAGTTTCATACTTTTGGTGAAGTGATGGCCTTTCATTCATTAGTTCATTCAACAGCATTTATTGAGCACCTACTGTGGCCCTGTGGTGTGCGCTGCTAGAGGAACAGCTAAATCAGACCTGGCCCCACTGTGTGGGAGCTTGTACCCTAGAGTGAGGTTTCTCAACCTTGACGCTATTGACATTTTGACCCAGATAAGTCTTTGTTGTGGGGGATGGCCCTAACCATCACAGGATGGTTAGTAGCTTCCCTGGCCTCTATCCACTATTTACCAGTAGCACCTCCTAGTTGTGATAACCCGAATGTCAGACATTCTCAGATGTCCCTAGAAGGGGGATATCCCTGGGTGAGAACCACTGCTCTAGAGACTTCTTTGAGATTTTACCCAGTCTCAAACTTACAGAAACATTTCATGTATGGTACAAAGAACTCTACAGAGAGGAAAGAGCTAGATGTGAAGGACACTCACACAAATAGACAAAGCTCAGGGCCCAAGGGAGGGAGAGTACAAGGCAGCGTCTAAGTCTCTGCTTGCCAGAATGTCTTCCTGCAGAGGGCACATGGAGCTGAGTTTTGAAGGATGGAGGAGGGTTTGACAGCCGAGGCTTAGTGTTCCAAGTGAAGAGGATAGCAAGGACACATCCAGGGAAGCAGGAAAGCTGGGCTGGAGTTGAGAAGTGAAGCAGCCATTTCCGTGGTCCTAAGAGTGTGTTAGGAGCAGTCATAGAGAGGTGGGCAAAGAAGTTTAAGAAGGGCTTGGATTTCGGGCCCAGGAGGTGGCCTGCAGGATCATTCTATTGCATGTCTGTGAGTGTGGGGAGCCCAGAGCCTCTCTCCCAAGCCCAGTGGTGCAGCTTCCCCAAGAACTTTCTCACACAAACTAGAAGCCAGCACTATCTGGGGCTTCCCTTTCTAAAGTCCTCTTGTCTTTCTCCGACAAGCTCCCCTGATTCACTTAGTGGGGCTAGTTTGTCTCCGAGAGGCTCTCTAGCTCTAATCCACTGTGGTTTGGATTCTAAAGGTTTTTGCAGATGTGGAAAAGGGAGATAACATGCTTAATATCTTTCAACATTGGTTGTAATGGAGCTTTTCTCCACATTTTAGGCAGCTGAAACAGACAGACTTTCCTACGTGGGAAACAATTTTGGGACTGGAGCCCTCAAATGCAATACTCTGTGCAGGTAGGGTCAGGGGAAGGGACAGCTGGAAGGGGAGGGAGTGGTGGTGGCCCTGGCACTGCTGTTCTGTCTTCGGGGGCAGTGGGGGAGACCGAGAGAGGTTTATTACCAAGTCCCTGTGCTCCCAGATCCAGAGGCCTTCACACCAGCATATAGACATTCTTGAAAAGAAAGTTGGCTTAATTTGTTGAATTTCCTAAAAGCCTCATTTATTTGTAGTATTCCTTAAGTTTAAAAAAAAATTAAGATATAGCCCTTGGCTGATGTAGCTTAGTGGATTGAGTGCCGGCCTGAGGACTAAAAGGTAGCTGGGTTTCATTCCCAGTCAGGGCACGTGCCTGGGTTGCGGGCCAGGTCCCCAGTTGGGGATGTGCAAGTGGCAGCTGACCAATGTTTTGCGCGTTGATGTTTCTCTCCTCTTTTTTCTTGCCCCCCTCTCTAAAAATAAATACATAAAATCTTAAAAAGAAAAAAAAATATTAAGATATAATTGATATATAACATTATATTAGTTTCAGGAGTACAGCATAATGATCAGGTATATGTATAGTGAAATGGTCACCAAAGTAAGTCTGGTTAACATCCACCACCACACAGTTACACCTTGTTTTCTTGTGATGAGAACTTCTAAGGTTTACTCTCTTAGCAACCTTTAAACATACAATACAGTATTAACTATAATCATCATACTGTACACTACTTTCCCAAGACTTATTTATAATCTTGTTTCCAAAAGGCAGCTGTCTTAACTAATATGGAATGTATGATTAGTATTCTAGAGCTTGCCAGAAGTTTGCTTTAGGACTAACTGTAAGAAGAGGATTTGGTAGCGTCAAAGGCTCTGGGGTTTTTATCCAGCTCCGCTGCTGATTGGCTGACATTGGGCAACCTTGCCCTTCACTAAACCCGGGTCTGTTCCTGCTGCGCCCCTGCCGCCCCCCACCCTCCTTACAATGAAGACTGCCTGGGCTAAACAGTCTGTAACTGTGGGGGGCTGGCATAATGCACACGGTGTCTCCATGATGGTATCCAACAACAGCGACTCACAAGGCTTTTTCAGAGCCCTGCAGGACCGCCCGGGTACAAGTCAGATTAATGAGTATATGCTTAAAGCTATTAACACTGCATCAGAGTTCTGCTTCACACTGGTCTTCTCCCCATATTTACCAAGGCTTCCTTGTGTTTGCCTCCATAAAATCTATGTGTGCAGTAAATTCCAGGGTAATTCTTCATTCTTACATCCCGAAAGGGTTTTTCCACTGCAGCAGTGAGCCCAAATGTGATCAGCTGCCAGAGTCACCTGCAGCTTTATTTTTCAGAACCACATCATGTACCCTCCCCTCTCTCCACTCCCGCTTTTTCCTCCCCATGCTCAGAATTGCTGCTGCGGGGATTATTGTTTCTCCCTGGCAGGTGGTGCATTCCTCAGGTGTACTGGGGCAGAAAGAACAGTTGAGAACCTCTAAGCTGGGAAGTTGTATAAACAAGACCATTTGAATAACCCATTGTCACTGGTATTATTTCTTCTTCATTCAGGCACTTTGTGGGAATTTTGAACAAGGCCTCTGGCCAAATGGAGGTGTACGATGCTGAACTGTTCAACATGCAGCCACTGTTTCCAGGTAGGTCCCGTCAAGGCTCGCGGACATGCCGCATGCTTCAGGTTTGCTGGGTGAGTCGGTTTGCATTTCTGATTTGTAAACACATTTTGTAGTTGTTTTTAAAAGAGGGCCTTCTGTCAGTATTTTTTTCTTTTTTCTTTTTAAAAGGTTTTATTTATTTACTTTTAGAGAAAAGGGAAGGGAGGGAGAAAGGGAGAGAAAGATCGATTGGTTGCCTCTCACATGTGCCCTAACTGGGGACTGACCCCACAACCCAGGCACGTGCCCTGACCAGGAATCAAACTGGCAACCCTTTGTTTGTGGGATGATGCCCAACCAACTGAACCACACTGGTCAGGACTCTCTCTTTTTTTTTTTTTTCCATTTGAACAAGTTTTAAGAGTTTTTACTCAGCACATATTTATTGATGACCCTCTGTGCTCCAGGCACAAGTTAGGAGTCGTGGATGCAGCAGAACAGAGACAGATCCTGTCCCCACAGTGTTTACAGACTTGAGATGAGGAGCTAGCCTCCGTTCAAGTGTGCTGAGCAGTGATCAGAGCAGAATATTGGAGGGCATATCTGATACTCATTTCAACTGGGGGCTTTTTTTAATTCTTAATTGTTCTACTGGGGTAGACGCTTTAGAATCTCTGGTAGGTGCTGGAATTGCTTATATGTTAGACAGCAATTTTCATGTTGAAAAGTCCCTACACTTTCTAATTCAGAGAAGATCCATTTTTTCCTAATCCAGTGGGAGAAGTTGCATTGCTTCTCTGCTCTGGCATTTCAGAATGCTCAGGGCCAGAGTGGGAGCTTCCAAAATGATAGATAAGGGGGTCAGACTTCAGGGGGTCCTGTTCCCTAAATCTTAAACACTGAGAACCGCGGTGGGGAAGGGTGTTAGGTAAGGAAGTAGTCTTAGGATCGTGGTGTATCTGCCTGATAGCTTCTGAGGCATTAGTTCTGACTTGATTCTCTCCAAGCAGCAGTCCCACCTTTTTGAGAATCTGATAAGGACTTGGACCTACTTTCTGGAAACATAACATAATATACCAAAACATATATGAGATTTAGCATATAGTTTTAAAGGGCTCTTGAGTCCCAAAGCCCATCAGTGAATTTCCTAGGGAACCATAGTCTGTAAGTTAAGAATTCTTGGCTTTGCGAACAAATGTAACTACAGTTAAATTGTCCTCCAAATTCTCTTCTAACTTTCAAGGAAGCAAAGAAAATTATTCATTAATTTGTTGATTAAACACATTTTTTATAAGTAAGTTTGTAAATATCGCTTTATTATATCCATCACATTGACCTGGGGCACGTCATTTCACCTGGAGGCCTCATTTGTCCTTACTGGGAAAAGGAAGAGGTTGGATCAGTTGGCCCCTCCATTTGACTCCTTAATTCTACAAATTATCTAAGTGTGTATTAAAGCTACATACTAAATGTCCAGTATATACTCATATTAAGCTCTGGGACGTCCTGGAGTAAAAAAAATCTGTTTTGCTTAGATTAACTCTTAAATAAATAAATACCAAACACTAGTACTCTCTGTAGGACTTACAACAGTTTGCTTTTTTCCCCCCCGTTTTCATTTGTTTTGTGTTTTGATAGATGAATCAATTGAGAGTGAATTGACTTCAGAGAATCAGAGCAGAACTTTCAGAGATAAGGTAAGTGGGATGGAACCAAGATGTGGGACCTTAAGCAAGCTCCTTCTAGGCCTTGGGCGAGGGCCTCTCCGTCAGTAAAATGAGCTGGTCGAACACATGGCTCCCCGGCTGCTCCCAGTTCGTTCATCCCGGGGCTGTCTGGACGGTTCTCTACCTGCGGGAGCCTCATGCGCCTCACGGAGAGCAGTTCATCTGTCTGGGGCAGCCCTACACAGCTCTGGGCCAGTGTTGTGAACTGGTTCTCTCAGCTGATAGAGGTGTAGCGTGCACTTGTTTTTAAGGCTTAATCCAAGTTTCAGAGAATATTGGGTGTAGCCTGGAAACTGTCATATTAAAACAAAGCAAACTTGAAGATTTTTCCAAGTAGAATGCTCTTACAAAGCTCATCTCACCTCATGCTGGCAAATGGATTGCTTCAGTGCGGCCTGGAGCAATGTGTTGAGAAGGAGCGTGAGGCTGTCTTCCAACTCAGAGGGGAAGAGTGAGGACTCTGTCGGCAGTATCTGTTATGGGCATAGGATTGGACGATGTTAAACTGTGCCAAAGATTTACCAACCCTGATTATAGTCCAGTCTTTACATTTTACAGATGGAGGCACTGTTGATTTGTAAATGGTCCATTACTATTTACAAAGCAGGTTCTTCAGGTCTGTTCATATCATTTGATCCTTATAAGCCTGTGAGGTAGATAGCTATCATTCAACGTAATTGATAGGGGAGGTCATGATGGCTGAGAGGGGTGACAGTTTCCCCATAGTCACCCAGCTAGGAGTAGCGGTGCCCAGCCTGCCCCCGTAACCAAATTTGTCCCTTGCACAGATGGACTCCTGCATTGAAGCCTTCGGTACCACCAAACAGAAGCGGGCCCTGAACTCCAGGAGAATGAACACAGTGGGCAACGAATCTTTGAGTCATGCAGTAGCTAAAGCCGCAGAGAGCATTATTGATACAAAGGGTGTGACCGGTAAGCAGCTGGAACTTAGGGTAGGAATCTGTGCACAGACACAGCCTTCTCTTCTCTTGAGGTCTTTTACTGGCCCCATAGATGAAGATGATCAAAGTTAGGGCTGGATTTCTTCCTGCCTCTTGCTGAGGGTCTTTGCAGGAACAGATTGCGGAAGCAGCAGGACACGTCTGACACGGCCTGCCCTCAGTGAGCTCACAGTCAGGTGGAGGAGACAGGCAGGGGAAGGGTATGTGCGCGCTGTGTCCTTGGTGCCGGGGTTGTAGCCTGCAGGTCACAGAGGAGAGAGAAGGCTCCCGGTCTCTGATGCACGGGGAGGTTTTGGTCCACGGGGCTGGTGGGACGAGGAGGCACTGAGCCTCTGTTGTGGTGTGTCACTTCCAGGGACAGTAGATTTTTTTCTGCTCCTAAATTCCTGAGAAGCTTGTGGACTGAATTTTATTATTTTAAAATGTATGTATTGTTCAGATGCATTATAAGAACATAAGAAAAAATTTATACAAGCAGTTTTTTCCCATTAAAATGGAATTTTAGTAAATTTTAGAAAATCTTTCCATGCTCTATATTACAGATATTTCCCTGTATTTTCATGCAGTACTTTTACAGTTTTATTTTTACATTTAAATCTTAATGAAGAATTTTTTTGGCATATGGTACAGACCTGATTTTATGTTTTTCAAAACTGCATCTTTTCCTTTATAAAAGGTAATCTAGAAAGTCAGGTTCATCATTTTACCCTGTCCTTAGTTGTGTTTTGTCCCGTCGCTCCGGCAGGCTTTTGATGATGATAGCAGCCTCATCGCCCGGTTCACTGTCCCATGGGGCAGCTTCGTCCCCCTCCTGCCTCCTTGTTTTTCACAAGGTCTCGGCTACTGTAACATGCTCACTCTTCCGGGCGACCTGGAAAATACTTTTGTCAGGTTCCCTCCAAATACAATCGGTATTACTATGGGGAGAATCAACATTTTTATAACATCATATTTTCTCATCCAGGAATACAGAAGTATGTCTCTGTTCATTCAGAGACATACTATACCAATTTTTGAATTTTTTTGTTCAGTTTATTCTTAACTATTAAAGGACATTTAAAAAGAAAAATAATTCATCCATTTCCTCATCATTCTGCCAAGCCATTATAATTTTCCTGTTTTCCTCTCTTTGTCTACATGCATACTTAATTCTTACACGGTTATTCCTGTGTGGTAGTTACAGTTTTATAATTTGATTTCTTTTCACTCATAGTATGTGGAGAAATTTTCTGGAATTTAAGCCATTAAAGGCTATTTTGAATACCCCTCACTTTTAGTTTCTCTTGTATTGCATTGTAAATATTGATTAGCAAACCTCACTCCCAACTAGACTGCAAGTTACTTGAAGGGAGCCCACGCTGGATGCACCTTCTCTTGGGCCCAGTTAGGTTTGCGTCCTGAGTGGACACCGCAGTGCTGGAGCCATCAGTCAGCCTGATGGGGACTGTGGGCCTCACTGGCGGGAGCGTTCAGATTAGGGGTTTCCGGGCTGGTTACAATGTTGAGTGCGCATGTTGCAAAGAGTGTGGGGGAGCCTGAAGCCAAACAGGGTGATACCCACACTGACTCTGTCTTTCTTGTGAAGCCCTGGTCGATGACGCCATGCGTGATAACTTGCAAGATGACTCCCTCTACCTCCCTCCCTGCCACGCTGATGCAGCCAAGCCTGAAGATGTGTATAAATTTGAAGACCGTATCCTCCTTACAGTAGAAATGCTACTTTATTCACAAGTTGGGGTGTGCGTACACGAGTGGCACAGCCAGGCTCTCTGGGAGTCGGTGGTCCCAGGACACTCACAGAAGCTACATCTTGACCTTTGCAGTTGCCCAGTGCTGTTGCTGGGGAGGCAGCTGGGCTCCCTCACTAGCTGAGGGACCTGCTCCAGCATCAGCATCTTAGCGCCTGGGATTCAAACCCATTCCTCAGCAAAATGCCATATGTCCACAGTTCAGCCCTGTGAGGGTCACTCTCCATGAAGAGTCCAAATGTAACCAATGCCTGAAGTCTGGGACAGACTGATTTTGTAAAAGGAAGGGTTGGAATGTAAAATATCCCTACTCGGGGGTCTGATGAGATTGAAAATGCCTGTGGTGGCTTTGTGATAAAGAGACTGCAGAAAATCCCGGGTAGGGAGCAGGGTCCGGGCTGGGAGTCTGGAGAGCTGAGTGGCTGAGTGCTGTGTGACCGTCCCGTCAGCCTCAGCGTTCTCGTCTCTGACATGAGGCCACTGGGACTCGATCTGACTCAGCAGTTTTCAGTCTTCATCTCAGGGCACATGTAAGCTAATTACTACAATTCTGCAGCACACCAAATACATATTTTTTGCTGACCTGACAAAAAATAGGTATAATTTTATTGATAAATAATAGTAATTACCTACCCTTTTTGCTCTAAAGTGACTTTTAAAATCAGGTGCCTACTCTTGTATATAGGAGTTCTGGTACTAAGAATTAACCAATGATAAATGGTAATGGAAAAAAAATACAATAAAGATTAAAGGGAAAAAAAACAATCAGATGCAGCCTTATGCCATGTGACTTATAAGATGCAACTGTATTATATGACCTGTATATTTGTGGTTCCAGACAGACCGTTTACACCAGATAGCTATTGTTGTGTTGGCTGTTATTTTTAAATTTGACGTGTAAAGGAAAGGAGTCAATGTCCCTGACTAAATAGTTAGGTGTTGCATGCTTTAAAAATTTCTGTGGCACACTGGTTGAAAATCGCTGATCTGGCTAGTTAGATGTTTCTGTTTTGGTTGGATTGTGTTCTTAACCAGTATCTAGTTCTTTCCCCTGCGGAGTATGAGGCTCTTCAGAGCCCATCTGAAGCCTTCAGGAATGTCACGTCAGAAGAAATACTGAAGATGGTTGAGGAGAACAGGTACCCACTCGGGTGGATGGCGTGTCGGAGGGAGTAACGCTGGGACACAGCAGTCATCAGATGCAAAGCAGACCTTTGGGGGTCAGCCACTGAGGATCACTGTCCAGCACTTGAACGTTCACTTGAACGTGAACCAGCCAATGTTTTCATAAATGTCTGGGCTTCTAGACCTGATGTCCCAAAGCTGTGCATGGCATTTAAGGGGCAGAGTTGGCCTCTGAGTGCATGGCCCCTGCCGCTGGGTGGATGGTGGTGAGGCCTTGCAGTGGGCTGGGAACTAGAGATGGGCTGTGCCCCGCAGTGTCATGCTTGCTGCTGACTGTCACCATGGGGCCCAAGTGTTAGCCTGAAAGGAGGGGCCAGCTAAATATTTGATTTATCTGTGATGATGTGCTAAGGAGCTTTTCTTTTTAAACATTGAACATTGTATATTCTAAATAGCTCATTTATTATTCCCCTCCTTTTAAAATACTATTTTTAATCCTCACCCAAGGATATGTTTATTGATTTTAGAGAGAGAGAGAAACTGATATGGGAGAAAAACATTGATCATTGCCTCATACACATGCCCTGACCGGGGATTGAACCTGCAACCTTTTTGGTATATGGGACCATGTTCCAACCAACTGAGCCACCTGGGCAGGGGTGCTCTGTCTTTTTGTGTATTTATTGATTTTAGAGAGAAAGGGGGGGAGGGAGAGAAACATCAATGTGAGAGAGAAACATTGATCTGTTGTCTCTCATATGCGCCCTGACTGGGGATTGAACCTGCAACAGCCTAGGTATGTGCCCTAACTGGGAGTCGAACCCGCAACCCAGGTATGTGCCCTGACTGGGAATCGAACCCCCAACCTTTTGGTGGGTTCGATTCCCACTGGTGGACAGGAGAACACCCAACTGAGCCACACTGGCCATGGGCCCCTCCCCCACACACACCTTTTTTGGCCACTAAAACAACTTTTTTTTTTACAGTGATGGTGGTATTCTTTTGCTTTTGAGTTTAAAAAAATTTTATATTGAAAAAGTAAAAAATTGTCAACTACAGGCTGATTTCCTGATTTTTCTTTGGAAATTTTACTGGTCAGTGAAATTCAAAGCCTTGGGAAATACTTTTTTTCCTCCAAAGGTCCATTTCCCAAAAACAAGCTCATGAGTATTTTTTAGTTGTCTTAATGTGACTGTGGCCCGGGGTGCAGGGACGAGCTCTGGGCTGGGAGCCTGGAGGACTGAGTTTTGGAACTCTGCAAATACACTGTGTGATCTTCCCCGACCCGAGGCTCGGTTCTTCTGTCTGCGAAGTGAGGCAGCTGCAGATGATCTCAAAGAGCCTTTTTATTTCCTTGAGTCCAGGCTCCTGACAGTGGTAGAAAGTGCTTAGAAACAATAGCTAATGTTGATCAAGCCCTTAGGTGCCCAGCACTGTTCTAAGCACTTTGCTTGTATTGTCCTTTTTAATCCCCTCCCCCCAAAAAGTCCCTAAGAGGAGGAGGGTATTATTATTGGCCTCACATTATGGGTAAAGATGACGTACAGGCTGTTCAGAAATTGCCGAAGCCATCAACTGGCAGAGAGGGAGTTCAGTCCCAGGCAGCCTGACTTGAGAGCCTGTGCTCAGACCACTGCATCTGGATTTGACAGAACCCCTGGCCCACGTGCTCAGTCTGGCCTGGTGCCTGTGGATGAAGTTTTATCGGAACATGGCCACGGTCATTCATTTTTTTGCATTGTCGATAGCTGCTTTTGCACCACAAAGGCAGATTTGAGCAGTTGCAGCAGAGCCCATGTGGCCCACGAGGCCTAAAATATTTGCTGTGCTAGCCCCTCACCGCCCCTGCAGTAAACCGCGCTCCTTCTGTTAGGAGGCACATTGGCGGGTGGCCCTTCCTCAGCCATCAAGTTTGTGTGAGGGGTGCTGCTATTCTAACGGTGCCAGGGTGAATGGCTCCTGACCAAGTGATCTTACCCAACGCATTCTTCCCTTTCCCACCCTTGTTTTAGCCACTGCTCCTTTGTCATAGAAGCGTTGAAGTCTCTGCCATCAAATGAGGAGAGCCGAGACCACCAGGCCCGATGCATATGGTTTCTGGACACGCTCATCAAATTCCGAGCACAGAAAGTGATTAAGCGCAAAAGTAAGTTCATGATAGACATTTGATTCAAGTTATTTCCAGACCATTATTTGCCTGTAATTCTTAGCTGTAACGAGAGAAGAAAATGAGTATGTGCGCTCAGGTCTTTATTTAAACCATGTAACAGTGAGGTTCCCACTGGTACCGCCGACGTGGTGAGAGGACTCGCCAGGCTCTTTCCTCATTTGCAGCCAGGGACAGGCAGGATCATGTGATTGTTCAGAGTTAACATTCACTTCCGTTCTGCATTGGGCAATGTGCAGTATCCAAACCAAATGAAAACTGGAAGGGACTGAGACAAACGTCAGTCACAGAGGGAAAAAGGTTGGCCTTGCTCATGAAGGCTCCTGACTGGTGTGCGTTGTGTCAGCTGGTCTCTGACTGGGCGAGGAGACAGCCGGTTTCTGCTGGTCACCCCAGGGTCAGCTACTGCCAGGGCATGGCTGCCCCACCCGCCTGTCCAGAGTCGGAAAGCCAGCGGGAGAGCCCTGGGGTTTCAGCCGCAAGGGGTACATGGTTTTGTACCGTGATTGGGCACCTGAGAGTCTATGCTTTTCAGTACTTGCTTAATTCTTATTTTCATATCCTGATCGCCCCTGCTTTCCCTCTCCCTGGGATTTCTCCACATTCTGTTTTGCTTTTCTAACATCTTACAAATTCTGTGTCTTTCGCCCTCATCGGAGTCTTATTTTTCTTTCTTGTCGCCTCATCATAAATGTCTCCCAGGCAGTTTCGTTTGAAATGAGCATACTTTCATTTAAAGGGGGCCATCTTGTTCCATGGGCCCCTGCTTCTCCTACCACGTGGTTTTGTTCATAACATCGGCCCAAATGCTGGCCTCTTCTCCCAGCTCATGGGTGACACGCGGCCCGAGGGCTTTGACAGAAGGTGACCAAACGCAACTTTGTGTTGTAGGTGCCCTGGGGCCTGGAGTCCCACACATCATCAACACCAAACTGCTGAAGCACTTCACCTGCTTGACCTACAACAATGGCAGGTGAGGGGCGCCATTTCTCGGGCTTCTGCCTGTAAAGGAGAGAGCAGGCTGGGAGGGCGGAGAGGGTAGGGAGCTGGAGTGTAGACTGAATGCCGCGCCCAGAGCTGCTGTGCCCTTGGCAGTGGTCCTGGGGTCAATCTCAGCAAACACGGCACAGTTCGTGCTCTCTTCCCCTTGGACACGTTCACTTCCCCTTGGGATGTCTAGCAATGAAGACACCTCACTTGACTGACTCCTTTTGGGGAACCCTTCCTGACGTGCCCCCGCAGAGTCGGTGTTCTGTGAAATGGCAAGTTGCAGGAAAGGCAGGTGTGTGTGGTGATATTGGGGGCAACACTTCGGTTTTCTTCTTCCCATTTGCTTGGAATGTGTTTCCTGCTCCGAGTGTGTTTGGAGAAATCAGCAGCATGTGAGTGTGGGGTGACCACTCTCTTGGCATCCCTGCTGAGCAGGCAGGGGCGGACTGGAGGGTCCTGGCCAGTGTGGGCTCTCACTGGGCCTGGGGTAGTGGGTGCGGCCTTTGCTGTCCCCCATGGAGGGAGCCCTGGGATTGGCTCACTTCCCCTGTGTGATGACTCTGGCGCCCTGAAGGACAAGGAGTCGCTTGAATTCCTTTTCCCCTCCCTAAGATGGGAAGACGTTGAGTCCCTACGGGAACAAGTTTGGATGTTTTTATTTTGCTTTTGAAGAAATCATTTAGAGTTTAATTGTGGGTCTTTAAACTGGTTTTGCAGTTTACGCAACTTAATTTCTGGCTCTATGAAGGCGAAGATCATCGCGTATGTGATCATACTCGCCTTGCACATAAATGACTTCCAGATTGACCTGACGGTGTTACAGAGGGACCTGAAGCTCAGTGAGAAAAGGTGAGCACCACAGAACAAAAGGCCTCCTTGCTGTATTTCTAGTACTGCTGCAAAGCACGAGGCTCCATCAGGAGAACTGGGGACGTTTAATAGGGGAAAGACCTGGGGCCAGAGGACAGCCATCGGTGAGTGACTGGATGGGTGGGCAGCTGGACATCACAGGCTGCCGGTTCCCTGCGCCGGGCACAGATGGAACACGTCGTACTGTGGGGTTGGCCAGCAAGTCCATCTGGTTTTTCCATAAAGTAAAAGACACAGTTTTCATTTTCACCACTCACTTTAATGATTTGGATATTTTGAGTATGTCGGCAGTCTCCCGTATGGGATAATGTTGATTGTTCTCAATGTCTCAATTTGATCGCTGTCAACTGGGCGGCCTGACTGGAGTATCATCCAGCAAGAACTCTCCAGCACGAAACTTCGAAAACCAGTTTTGACACATTGGATCAGTCCCGGCACCTTCTCCGTACACTGCACAAATCTTTCTTTTTGCATTTCAGTTGCATTTTTACCTTTCTTGGAATGATAAAGCATGATGTGCTGAAAATGTGCATATTTTCTTCCATCTTCAATATTAAAATGGCTACACAAAAATTCACCAATTTTGATTTTTTTTAATGCACACTGATATGACAGCTGTCACTAGACAGTCTTAACAAAATTGTTTTGAATGAAATTAAAAACAACTAAGTGCGACTAGAGCCAGTACTGCTGTGGCTACCAGGCTCTAAGTGCTACTGGCAAGAAAACCAAATAAACTTTTTGGCCAACCCAATATCTCAGTGATTTCCCTGAAAAACAACTAAAGATTTACAGTTTAGAAAAGTCACTGACTTTCCCAAGGTCACACAACCATGAAGAGGAATAGCTGGGCGTCAGACCCGAGCCTTCCCGTAGCACCCTGTGCCCATGTGACCAGGCACACCCCAGTCTCCATGTACTTCCCTCCAGGGAGAGATTCTCTGTGGTCCTCAGGGGGCAAACCCAGGGGGAAACCCAGGGGTAGAGGTCCTACGAACCCAGTTTCAGCTTAGCAAAAAGACCCCTCCCAGAGTCCGAGGGAAGGGGCTGTCAGACGGTGGGGCTGCTGTTGGGCAGGAACGCCACATGGGGTCTTCCCTGACTGGACTGGGAGAGTCGGCAGAGGCGGCCCTTTGGGCCCTGTGTAGCCTTGCTAGTAGGGATTCAGACCGGTTAGGGGGCAGAACTTCCCTGCATCCTAAACACTGGTTCCTTTGGCGTTTGTCAGTGATTTAGGGACATCTGACACCCAAGGACCCTGGTGCTCCAGAGAGCCAGTGAAACACATGTGTCTGGACTGTCCCTCACAGGGGTTACACCAAGGGCAGTCCCCACACGGCACTGTCGCAGGCAGGGACGCTGTAGGTCAGAGAGAAGATACCTGGAGCCTGTTCTAGCAGACTTCTAGCAAGCGTTCAGTCCTGGTTAGAGGGAATAAACGAAGTTTATTAATAGGATCCAGACAGATAACCTGGTTTGTAGTCACCTATAAGGGTATTTTCCAATGGCAGCTCATTAAAATGAAATTGTCTGATGGCTCTGTGGGGGATCTTGTCTGCCTCTCTCCTGGTGGCCACTTTGGGGACTCTGTCTTTGTGGCCAGGAGCATGGTGTGTGCCGCTCCCTCCTGCCAACCCACCCTGAGCAGTGACGTTGAGGAGACTCTCCATTTGTTTCATGTGTTTGTTCCTCAGGATGATGGAGATAGCAAAAGCCATGAGGCTGAAAATCTCTAAAAGAAAGGTGTCTCTGGCAGCCGGCGGGGAGGAGGAGCACAGACTGGGCACCCTGTGCATCCCGCTGCCCCCAGCCCAGCTGGACCGCCAGTCAAAGCGGAGGAGAATGACGTAGAGGTGTGCTTTCCGGACAGAGCAGCTCGGCCACATCATAGCCACCACTTCCGTTCATTTCTGCTTTTCATTTTTAAAAAGAGGAAAAAGAAGCCCTGCTCTGATGTGGGTATGAAGCCACAAGCTGGCATCTCAGTTGTGCTTAAGCAGAAACATCACACGACTGCTGCATTGGACTTCGTCTCCCTCCTCCAGTGTTGTGACTGTAAATGGCAGCCGTTCTCGTGTTGGTTCATGTGTGGTGATGGGGGAGGCGGGGCCTGGGAAGCCAGAGCCAGAAGATCTCACAGGCTGAACCCTGGGCCACATCTAGTAGATACGGGTTAATAAAGAGTACTGGGAAGTACATTCTTCGGTCTTGGAGCACCAGTGGAGTACACGGTGTGGAGGAGACAGCCCAGTGGGGCTGGAAGAGGAGGCCTTGGGTCACCAGGGCAGTGGAGTTGCCAAAACAGGCGGGTTGGGTGGAGGCTGCGGTAACAGGGTGGGGGCCTTAACAGGGAGGAAGCTATTGGCCCAGTTGCTCTGGCTCAGGCTGTGTAGGGGTAGGGGTCAGTTCTGAAGCCATAGTTCTGAGGGGGTGAATCAGAATTCATCACAGAAAACAAGTTGTACCTAAATATCCTAAGAAGAAAGGATTTGAATTAGTGGATAAAACAGAAAGTCATTAAAGGGCCACGGGGAGGGAAGTGGGAGGTTGCCCCTGAAGTGCTCAGTCCAAGGACACACGGCTGGGGTTGCCATCCAGGTGTCGAGAGGCCACTTCTATCCCACAGCTGCTTGAATTCATGAGCTGGTGACGACACTGAGTTCAGCCACCACGCTTTTAATACCCACATTTGCACCCACACGCTTGTCAGCACAAACCACCAAAAGATCAAGAAGCTGCCTTCCATCTTGCTGCTTTCTTCTGTGAGTGCGTATGTAGGAGCCGAATTTGCACCTAGAACCCTAGCAGCAAGGGAGTCTTGGAAACAGGTTTCAGCTCTCCAGCATGTAGGTAGAAGAAGGCGTATCCGCAGGAGATGGGATCGGGTGCTGACTGCCAACAGACCTTACCTACCGGGGGAGATGGAGACATCAGGGGGGCCATGAGGACTGGAGATGGGACATGGAGAGATGTAGGTACGTGGCTAACACTCAGATCTTCGGGGCTGCTCTGGGAGCAGCTGAGGTTTTGGTGCTCAGTGCTGGGGAGTGAGGAGCAGCGAAGGGAGAGAGAATTCATCTCTGAAAATGGAGGACGACATTTGTGCTTCAGCTGGGCCATCCATCAGGGAAGACGTGGTGGGAACGCATCTTAGATGGCTCACTTGGGTGGCACTTGTGTTTACTTCTTCAAGCCCCGGGGTGCTGTCATCAGAGCCACTTCTGGAGCGAGGCCATGCCCAAAGTGTTAATTGTCCATGCTCCTCTCTGGTGTGTCTCCTTCATCTGTGATCCTGGGTAATGGGTGTTTGTAGCCTCCTTTGTCTCCTTTCAGCAGAGGTGTGAGCAGGAAATCTAAACACCTCCTTTTTATCTAAGCTGTTGTGAAAATCAAGTGTGTGACTCTGCATCAGAAAAAATAATATCCTACTCTGCCTCTGGGAAAAGAACTAATGTGCTTATAGGGTAGAATGTGATTTCATGAATGCTTTTTAGGTTCTGATGGATTTGACTTTGAATTTCCAGGAATGACTGGGTCACTGTTGGAGGGGGGAGCAGTGGTATTGATAGGGGACAGTCTAGGCTGGCCAGTGCTTGTCCTGGGTGACAACCGGTGTACCCCACTAAATGCAGGTGGTGCGCTCCCAGAGGCTGACCGAAAAGCACACTTCTCTATATCAAGGGGTTTGTGGGTCAGAAGGCTCACGAGGGTCCTTGTTCCACTCAAACGAGACTCGTGAAAGCAGCTCGCACAGGGCCTGACGTGTAAGCAGGCGGTGGACGCAGATAGGTACGTAGTACGTGCGAGACCTGCACCTTCTTTCCTTGGCAGGGCTATCAGGAGGTAAACACTGCAGGATACTGGAACTGTATTTTCTTTATAGCTCTAAAAAACATTTGTTCACTAATACATTCACAGCGAATACCTTGATCTCACCAAGTTCCTTTGCCTTAAGGCCTCCTGCTGTTCTCTTTGAGGAAAGGGAGACCGTGGGCTAGAACCTGGTGCCCTTAACAAGACTGGCGGTTTGTGGAGTAATCTTAACTCACAGGTGTTGGTTAACTGAAGTCTGTTCCCTGGAAGGAGATCTTCGCCTGTGGCCCTCACCTGTCGAACCTCGCTAACAGTGATGAGGTCCAGGCCTCCAGCCTGGAAACTGCCAATTAGATAAGATTCTTCAGTGTCTTCTTTACATGTCAAAGCATCCTGTCCTTTTATTTACAAGTCCTTCAGTCTTAAGAATAAGGACTTTCTCTTCCATAACCACAGGACATTTATCAAAAGCAGGAAGACACAATCCTGTCATCTAGCCCACAGCTGATACTCGAATTTCGCCAATCACAGCTCTTTGGTCTTGTTTAATCTGAAACAGTTTCTCTGTCCTTTGACTTTCTTTACCTTGATGTTTGGAAGAGTAAAGCTGGTTATCTTGTAGGGGGTCCCTCAGTTTGGGTTTGTCTGGTCCGTTATGATTAGATTCAGGATCTACGTCTTTTGCCAGAAACATGGCAGACACGCTGTGTCTGGGCGCATCACAGCAGAGGCACATGACGGTGGTTTGTCCTACTGTTGCGGACGGTAACTTTTATTACTTGCTTAAGGTTGTGTTCTTCCCGCTGTGAAGCTGCTCTTTTTCTTTTCATAATGAAGCTAATTTGTGGAGGGGTGACTTGGAGACTAAATATCCTGTTCCTCGTGAAACTTCCCCCACCCCCCGTGAGTTTTAGTCTTGATTGAGGATTCGGGTTGGATCAATTACCAGGATGGTTGCAGAATGGTGATTTTGTAACTCCATTTTTAAAATACACTTATTGGCATTCTATTATAAGGGGATGCCTTTTCTCTTCCATTCAATGTATTTGTTCATTTAGTTAGCAGCATGGGCTTATAGATTCTCATTCCGTGAACATTGTTACTGTCGTTTATTTTGACGCTCAGACGGAACCACATTTGGACAGTCTGAGTTCACGCAAGCCAGCTCCCGTACCCCCGTCATTGGGAGGGTGCCGCCTTATTTTCTGGCGCAAGGTATTCCAGCCATCTTGTACCTTCCCTGCTCTGGCCCTGCCTGGAACCAACTTTGTATCCAAGGAACCCAGACAGATGACGGGAATGATGGGCCGAGACCAAGAAGCAAAATACCATCCTGCTACTCAGATGGAGCCTCAGCTGCGCTCAGACAGAAGTGGGTTCTGAGCAGAGGTGGCAGCTGTGTTGTGAGGAGCTCCAACCGCACTGAGAGCTGTCATGAATGTTCTAAAGGTTTGTTTTAGTGCACGTGACAGTACACTAGCTTTTCATTTATAGTAGGGATATAAACATTTCTTTTTAGTGCAGCAAAGTTAAGTTTCCTGGATAGGATCCTGGGATGGAGAAAGGACATTCGGTAACAGCTAAGGAAATCTGAATAAACCATGGACTTTCAATAATGCATCATTAAATGTCCCACACTAATGTAAGATGCTAGGGAAACCTGGGGGAGGGTAATATGGGAACTTGGTTCTACCTATCTGATTGCTTTTATGTACATTTAAAACTCCGGAAAAAGTCTATTTTTAAAGAGGATTTAAAGAAAGATAGTAACTACTAACTTTCCTCTGGTGACACGTGGATATGACAGAACTAAGACACCGACTGACAGAAGTCAGGGAAAGTGTGTTCATGGATCCGAGAACCCTCTGCCGACCATCGGTTGTCCACACCAGGGTCTGTCGCTGCTCTTCACGGAGCCCACGGGGCAGGCAGGACTGCAAGTCCGTCCCTGATGGACGCACCAGGAGACAGACCTTGGAACCTGGAGCTGGGGCTGGAACGAGGTGAACCGACAAGGTGGTCCCAGGGCTCCATCTTCTCCAGAGGACGCGTCGGGGCCTCTGGAAGGCGAGGGGCGCCGGGCCTGCAGCCAGCTGCCCGGGAACGCCAGCGCACTTCCCACCAAGGAAAGTCCCCCCAGAGTGCCTCTTTTAAAATATAGAACTTTATTTTACTTGCTGAGATTTTCATAAGCACTTGGTTCACAAAAAAGTCATTTCTTATAATAAAGGCAGCATTTTTATACAGCGACTCACATTGGGGCCACCAGAGAAGTGCAAAGGACAGTGTGGGGACAGGAGAGGCCCGCATTCTCGTGCCCCAAGTCCTCAAGAAGCCAGTGGTCCCGGCTTCCTCCAGCCCCCTCCCGCCCAGCCTCGGAGAGCAGCACCCAGGGCCCAGCAGAACCAGCCTGGGAAGCCATCGGTGAGGTGCAGGACGGTGACCCCAACAGGCTGGTGAGGGCCCTGCATTAAAGGCCGAGTAGGAGGGGGACTGTTCAGGCAGAGGGGTCCTGCATCCAGGCCCCTCCTCCAGCAGCCAGGGCAGGGTGTGAGCCCACCTGAAACCTTGACACACACTCACTCTACGGTTCAGTAAAGCCCTTTGGGAACTGGGGGCGCTGCCAGTGAGACAGGGCCCCACGCAGGTGAGTGCAACAGGTGAGTGGGACAGGGATGGACTTGGTAGGCTACAGGCAGAAAGTGCTCAGTACCTGAGGGGGCAGAGACAGGGTGGGGCGGCTCAGAGTGGGAAGAGCATTGTCATCTGCAGGGAGGGAGGGCCCCGTGGAGGTGGCAGTGTCTGAGCTGCACTCGAATGGGCAGAACCTGGACATGAGCAGGTGCAGAGAAGGGCATGCCAGGGAGATGGGAGAGCGTGAGTCAAGGCACAGAGTGGACACCATGAGGGTCAGTAAAGGCAGGTGGCTGTCCATGAGAGAGCACAGACACAGACAAGGGGCCCCGGCACCTGTATCTCCACCAGTCTGCTGCCTGGGAGGGGCAGCTGGTGTGGGTGTGCTTGTGGGACGTGAACCCTCCTTGTGCGACAGGCACTGAGAGAACACCCTCCTGAGTCTGGGAGCTCCCTGAAGGTGGAATGGAGTTGTGTGCGCCCCTGCGCTGCCCAGCCTGGCTCCCAAGCCACGCAAAGAAGCCTTCTCCCCACACCCCTCTGGTTTTCGACATGTCCCTTGTCATCTCTAGGTCAGCCTTTTAAGGGGGGATCTCTGTCCCAAGCCCCTTCCTCCCACAAAGATCCATGTCTAGGACAACTATATCCTTAAGGAAACCAAACTCTGCAGGCAGCTGCAGGGCCGGGGGGGGGGGGTGGTCTCAAGGGGGAGAGTCTAGAAAAGCAGTAAATTCTGGGGCAGCTCTTTCCC